ATACACATTCCGAATAAACTTCTCACCAGCAGATACGGTTATAAAATACAAAACAACAGTTATTGGGTCCCCACTGACTTCCCCTCTCAATTAATTGTAAATAATCAGGTTATATTTATGAATAAAATTTTGAGTTTCTTTCACAATGCATATGTAACACTTTTATTTCAGTTAATTAGATGTGAATCAAGACACGATCAATTGTTGATCTTTTTGATCATCACTCTATTTTAGCTACGAAAATAATCACAATGCAAATGTAGTCAACCAACTATTTCGTCTTGTGAGTATGTGGCCACTGGTAAAGACGGACAAAGATACTCACAGAGTGATCATCAGTCATATTGGCGAATTCAGGAAGGGTTAATGAACGGTGAATAATTGTCGCAGTTGTGTACATAGTCCTATTAAACTTTATGGAGTAGAAATCCTTGTATGAAAAGACTTAAAGTTATGAGATTGGGTATGTAGATCATACGATAAGTCAGCGTAATATTGTGAGTTAAGTTCAGCTAGTTTGAAGCATTCTATGTGAACAGAAGATGCTGCAACTAAATAAGAGTGAAAGAATAAACACTGAACGTTGATGAAGGATTACGTAATCGAAGAACGGTTACCGAGGTAGCCGGAGTTTGATTGTAGCTTCTTTTTGGACATAGAAATTAGGTTTCTGATGTTTAATGGCCATGGTCTCAGCAGAGTTGAGCTCATTTGTTTGTTCATTATTTTTAAAGGAATCAAAGACGTCTGCTTGATACCCAGTGTGAATAAGATACCGAGTAATTGCAGTGTTCAGTGTATTACTTCCCCGCCATTTTATTCTCTTCAGAACATCTTCAAAAAATCTAAGATACGCCCTTCTTTGTGTTCTTCTAGTGTGTCTCTTTCGGTATCTACACGTAAACTGATATACACAGTAGGAGGTAATAAAGGAAGAGTACGTGTCAACTTTTGACTGAACTAAAGAGCACACTTTATTACACAGGAAAAAACCTGGCTGCAGGAAAAGTTCTAGTCAGTGGTTTCTTCAATCATCTGCCAATAGTTCCTGCAATATCATCACCTTTGAAATAAAGGTAATGAAGGCGAGGTTTTTGCTGACTGTAGCTTTCTTTGACATTTTGTCTTCTGTTTTTTCTTATTTGTTAATCATTGCTTGTAATCATCTTTCAACTGTTCGTAATTCTTCCTCCACTTTATTATTCGAAAATAGGTTTTTTTTATCCAATCTTCGTTTGTAGTTTACTGAACAGAAGCTATTGAAATTCAGGTACGGACCATTTCATGTGATCTTTCTATAAATGTACCTTTGGAACGTTACCATCTGTCCTCCGTTGCACATAAAATTGAACTTATTAATATTTTCATCTTCCATCGTGAATTCAATGTTGTTATGAGTCTTATTAAGACTTTGTAAAATATAAGATGTATAGAATAAATCATTACAAACATCGAAGTATGTGGTGTAAAAAATGGCTTCACTGATTACATTCTCCACATTGACTGAGGAGACACCCACCAGTATAGCACCTAGTGGGCTACCCTATCAGATTGTCTGCAGAGTTTATTGCTAGATCGGAACTGACCATCCTTGCTACACACAAGTAAATTAATAAATAACTATTTTTATTCTCATATTATGAATTTAACCTGAGAAGGCATCTGAACTCTGCCACTGCCAAGGGGAGAAGATCGGAATGTTGGCATATAATGTCTATAATTTCCTGAAGGGGTACGTTTGTGGAAAAGTAAACGATATCAAACGACACCTTATAATTTTTGCAAAAATTAACTTGATTCAGGCTTTTGGTAAACTAAAAAGAGTCTTTAAGGCTGCATGTAGCCAATTGTTGTTTAGCTGGTTCTACTTTCTCACCCAAACAACGAGCCAATTTTTGATGAGGTGAGATAATCATGAATAGAAAAGGTCTGAGTGGAGTACTTTGTTAATGTATCTTTGCTAATCGGTATATACAGGGCAGACGGGATGTTCGGGGCTTCAGATCACTATACATAGAATTGCCAGTTAGTTTCTCTGTCAGAAGTTCTTTCAATACCTCTATGATTAGGTTTTCTGTCGCATCAGCCAAATTTTCCAAACAATTGTTTATTTTTAATGTCACTGAATTTTGAAGAATCGAGTTTATATTCACAATATAATCTTCATTGTCATCATCTGGTTTCAGTGTCACAGTTTGATTGTTATCCCTTAGATTTTTTAACGCTGTGTGGTATTCTTTTAACAAAGTTCTTGACTAAGGAGTTGGTGGAACAAGATACTAGTTTGCAATATCAACCAATCTAGCCTTGAACCAGCCCTTCCTATCCTTACTTATAGCACTATATCTGCCAGTTGGTTGAATTAATTCATAAATTGAGCTTCTATGCCAGTTTTATTGATGAGTTTCTTTCGGATGCAAAGCGTAAATCAGAGTAATAGTATTTCAAAAAAATTTGATTCAGCTTTAAACTGGATACATTGTGAATGTTTTGGCGAGGTTTTCTGAAAAGTCTCCATAAAGCTGCTTTTTTGTTTAAAGTCTATGACATTTTCGTACGAAAATTCTTGCCTTGAAGATATCTACCAAATTTAGGAGTTTTATCCGGCATATAATACTCAAGTCACTCACTTACTTCTCAAAGGCACTGGTCTCAGTCCACAATTTTTCTAAAAATGATTTCAGTTACTTAATTTGAGATTTTATAAACATCTAGGCCATAGTAGTTACGAATGTTCTGAAAGAAGTTAAGCTACGAGTCAGATTTAATCATGATATAAACACGCTGGGATTATATTAAGACTTACTCACAAGTAAAAATATCAAACAATATGATTTTACTGGAAATGTAGTATACTTTAATCCAGCAGAATTACATATTTTGATATTCTAGCTTGTAAGCAGTTGATAAGGTACCACCGAAATAAATTGGATTCGTTTTATCCTGCTGTCGTTGTTATTCTTGCTCTTTTCGAATGCCAATTTTTATTTGCCTGGCTATTAGTTGTGACCTTTCACTGACTCACCTTTCTTCCAAACATTTTGATACTTCTGTTTTATACTGATTCCGATCCACTCCATATTGGTTTTTGTTTCATTATCACTGCATTTATTATAATCACTCTAATTTATCTCACTCTGTTATGATTCTGTTGAGGTAATAAATTCCCATGACTACGCAACTGCTTCTACTCATCCATGAAAATTCCTCACCTTACCTTGTGTAACTTGTATTTAGTTTGACTGAATTGATTTACGCCTCCATTCCAAATCGCAATGTTTTTTCTAACCTCTAAAACATCTAGTATCTTTAGCCTCTTCATATAAGACGTCTGAATATTTGTAACGGTGAGTATTTGTTTACTCCAGGTGGATGCAACTGATGAAAATCTCATGAAATGAAATTATTTCATCTTATGCAAATAATGTTCTCACTGCATTACTCAGTTTCATTAAATGAACTAAGTCTATGAAAGTAGTCAATATTTTTTAAGGGAATACATCAAACTTTTCTAGCTAGATATCTTTGGAAGTTACTGGTGTGCTATGCTCTCAAATTACTATGTAAGCCTATTTTGTATGTTTACTGTTATATGTTCAGACCAAAAACCCTATGCAGCAAGTACACCGACGAGTAAAAAGAAGAAGCAAACATGTTAAGGGCTTAGAAACTCGAAAAGAATGTTACAAAAGGGTAACGACAAAACTGTTGTAGAAGCAGCTTCATAATATACGTATAAAGTTGTTCATTACTTCTAGGTAATTCCCAATAATAAAAAGTAAAAACGGTTTAGCATAATCACTAATGGTTGCAAATCTGACCCGCATCTGGAATCACCTCAAGTGACTAAGTCACATTTTCCATTGGAAACCGTTCACGTGACTCACCAACTTTAATTGTATATTCGTTACATTGTACTTATAAATAGTGATCCGGCACAATCTGAGTAACCTATTCACTATCGTATATTAAGGTGAGATCGTTTATGTACTCAAGATCAAACAATATTTGCTTTCATGGCACTTTTACATCCTCACTATGCACCTTCAAAACTCTCTTGTTAACATCGATGATAGTGGGAAGAGTAATTGCGAAATCAGATTACCCTGATTAACTCACTCACTCCTAAACTCTCCCCTACCTAGTTCTACGATATTTGTCGAACAAATATGGCCAAAGTGGTCTTTTACTTGATAACAGAATCCATCTTACTGGCATTCAGGCTGCAACTAATCATATGACAACTAAAACATGACAAAGACAACTTGAGTAATTTGAGTAGGTATTTTGAGATATAATTGTCATTATTTGTCAGTGGGTTAGACCGGTAGCTCGAACTGATCGTTACATATATATATATATATATATATATATATATATATATATATGAAGTGAGATATGCATGTCTGGAAATTTGAGACTCACTTTTTAATAACATATTAATCTTATCGTCATTATTACAGTTGATATCTGCATCCTCACTTGATTTTGTTTCATAGGTCGTCTATTATGTTCGCAGGCTTCGGAAACGCATAAAATAGCAATCAGGTGTACAACGTTAGCAAATGATAGGATGTATGTACCATCTTTTATATTCCTAAATAACATAATAGAGAATTGTACACCTGTCATTTATGACATGTTCGAATTCGTAGTGGTTAGTCTATTTGATACATAAATGTGTAATATGGTTGTATCCGTTCTGACCTTGGAACTCAACAGATGGTGAATATTTTTGTGCTCTAAGAAGCTAAAAATAGCAATACCTTTAAACTGCTTAATATTTTTGCTTTCACTAAGTATTTTTCTGCTATTGTAGTAGTTTTCGTGTAAAGGCAATACCGACGACCAGTGGTCTTCTTTATGTTTGTCGTAAATGAACTATAGCAAATATGAGTTTCTGTCTACATGACTTTAGTATCATTAAGTCACTCCTGAATAATACGTGCTTTCTAACAATAATCTGTTTCTTCCCTTTCAATTCATCTACGTGTGTACAGGTTAGTTACTGTTTACAAGAACTGTACAATATTCACTGTCGCCTTCTACATATCCCACAAGGATCCCAAATGTCTCAACTGGCAGCATCCACTCTTGTACAACACTTCACTTCCGGTGGAGGTCCGGTTATGGTTGGTGGTGGTCAACTGGCTCACACAATTATCGGTGTACAGTTGTGTGAATCAGCCGCAAACAAAACTGAATCGTCATCACCTTGTCGGTACTTAATCCTTGATCCTCACTATACTGGCCCATTCGGAAACATTAAGATTATTACAGAAAAAGGCTGGTGTGGCTGGAAACCTTCAAGCTTCTGGAAATCTAATGTGCATTATAACCTCTGCCTTTTACCATCAATAAAAAGAGGTTGTGTATAAGCCTAACTTCTTTCTGTTAATCTTTTCCAGACATGTTACATTCCCTCTACCAATATTCGCTGTTGTAAAGCTTTGTTTTTACTATGGTTATTATTTTAGTTTGTGTAGACTTTAATCTCAAACTAGTCATGTGATATGCTTTTCTTTTCGACTGCCTTCTGCTTTCAGTGTAGGATTATACGTTGTCGAGTTATCTTTAATAAATAATTTGGGTTGTGTACTTACATTTCTGTGGTGATCATGCCCTTAACAACCTTATGCTTAGCGATTCACATGGAATACACTGTCTGACTATATGGTCTACTCATGTACTTAGTGCGTGGGTCATTACTGAAGACATCTGTGGTCCGTTTGTTGTTGACCGAATTACTTTTCCATTCTAATGGTAGAGTATTTCTGGTAGAGACAGCTCTCTGCTCGTGATAAATATTTGAATAATACAGAACTACTTACCTATTTTGCTTGTTCTGATATATCATGCTGGGGCTAACGCAAGCGAATTTAATAAGGTGGAAGACACGAACTAAATGCCAAATTTTTCTAGTCGGCCTGAGTGGAAGATGCTACTACTGAACAACACGAGCTCGTCAGCGGTGTACCCGGACAAATTTAGATCATAGAGCCGAATTTGTCGGGGCATACCGCTGACGATAGGATTTTGTAATCCACAAAGTTTATGTTTAAGTCTGTTTGAAGGTTTGGGCGCTACCTAAATCCCAGCTTTACTGCGAATTCAATGCAACGTATTTAAAATGTCAGTAAACTCTGTTTGTTAGGAAGTTCATAGAACAGTTCAGAAGTTGCACGTTAACGGTAGTCATATTAAAGAATTTAAACAGAAACTGTCACGAGCATCTAGTTTAAAAGATTATGAGCTGTCCAAGAATACTCACATTAAGAAGTTCAACAAACTAGTAAACGAAAAGTATCCAATCGAGAATATTCAGATTATCAGTACTGATGCACTCATGATCAATGAGAAAAAGTGGGCAGTCAACTACCCAACTTCAATTTTAACCCCAATAAGTAAATTGCTTGTGAAGGGACTTAGCTTCAATGAAACACGTAATGAGCTAAAACTAGATATCTTGTTTAAAATACTGTTAGTTAAAGTAGCTAAGATAAACAGTTATAAATCAAATACGGCTCAATGGATATCAAAACTCGACAGGAGAAAAGAAACGAAAAAGTCTTTCAAGAACCTTCAAAATGTTAACAGTGTAGCAATGCACATAGACAAGTGGATGGAATCGTAATAAGTTTGCCATTAGGCCCACTACCTGCAGACTTTTTTTTAGCAAAAGTAGGCAATGGATGACTGGCGGATATCATCAACAAATTGGATATCTAATAATAACACTCATTATTGTGGAAGTAGTATTCGTCATGGACTGACATCAGTTGGGGAACCATTGAAAATCTGGGAGCACTGGTTCCCCGATTGATGTCAGTCCATGATGAATGCTACTTCTAAATTAAAAATCCCCATTCAACTCAAAAAAACATTCATTATTGTTGGCATGAATATGAATGCTAACGAACCATTGAAGAACTCCGCATCCTTCGATTGTAAGAAGGCAACAAATAGCGCTTTCTTGGTGCTCTATTAAATAGCTTGAACAGAAGAACTAGATCTGTGTATCAATGAATGTACGTTGTCACTTCTATAAATATACCGTATAAAATAAATCTAGTGAAATGTTTTGCAACCAGGCCAAGCAAAAGTTATTCTAGTCTTCAGTCACAGGAAGAGTAAGAATGTATTTTGAATTCATCAAAGTAAATAGGTTGTCCTCATAGTTATATAAAAGACATCAAGCGAGGCGAAACAAAACATGAGGAAGGAACTATTAGAAAGGGTCATTAAGCTACGTTTTACTTTGGATTAACCTTGTCAATTACTGTCCCGTAGACTATCAGTGAGCATTAAAAGGGATTTATGCAGCTTATCCATCTATGATTCTGCAGTCGAATAAAAGACAATTTACCCAGTTTCATGATTGACGCAAATATAAATTGGTCACTGTAGGGTAACTAATTTTATGTTGTCTACTTCTCACTGCTGACACTCCTATTGATCAACTAGAAAAGGGATCAGAAAATTATCGACTTGGATCAGCATGCAGGAGCAGACAACATGATATTAGTTTCTCTCTAGTGCCCAATCAATGTATCTAATCTAGTCAAACAGGAGGTCAGTCACCCCATATAGCTCGATGGTAACTCCACTGGCTGCAATACTGGGTAATGCAATTTCTAATCTTATAGGGGATATCAATTCTTTCGAGGCTGTAGATCAGCCTTGCTGACGAGTGCCAACAAGCATGAAACCTAGGTCCAGGGTTTCCCGTTGATTGCCTTCAACCAACTATTTGTTTCTTCGTCAATACAATCTATCTTGTAGGGATAGTTATGTTGGTTGTACACCTCGGAAACTGAGACAGCATATTAGCGAACCTTTATGTTCTTATTTGGAAAAAGTAAATGTTCAGTCTACAGGAAGTGGTATATGTTCACTTGTATAATCGGTGGTGGTCAAAGAGTGGAAAAACTTAGTGTTGAAATTTACTGTCTGCATTTCATCTAACTTTCTTTTGATGTGGTTTGAACCCACCTCTTACGTATGGCTGAGGTTATAGAAATTCTAGTGAGCAATTCTAACCTTTATATTTAAGAGAAATTGTAGCAGCTTTTGTCTCTGTCAGCCTTGTCGAACTGAATGGCTGACTTTGCCAGTAAACTCTCCCTCCTTTTATTTTCTTCACTTTTCTGAAACCTGTAGTATATAAATACAGAAGACAACGGTGGTGCTAAACAAACCTGACTACATTAAAAAGTCACTGGATATATTGAGACATGAAATTAAGGAACTGGTAAACAGTTATGAATAAGGTTAACAAATAAGCAGTGAATTTTTCATTGCCTAATAAAGCCATTTCTGTGTCGCTAAAATTGGTCTAACTTAATATTGAAGACTAATACTCCCAGTATGATTTTGTCTACTATCAATGTTCATGCTCCAAGTTATCCTATCATACGCATGGTATACTTTAGGAACACTTTAACGTATGAGTTGTCTAGATACTTAGCAGTGTTACCGAATTCAGGTAGAAATCATTCAAAAACTAAAACTGCCAATTTTTACAGCCTGAGTTACAGATTAAACGGTCTAAAACTATATGACAGTGATAAAGCTTGGCTTCGATATAACTGCTCCATACTGTAGTAGTTTGATAAACATGACTCTAGAAGAAGTTGCAAGTGAACTTAATTATGGCTATTAGCTTATACTTTAAACAAACGTTCCAAGATAAATCATGGTAGGAATGCAGATACACCTGGTGTTTACGGTCTGTACATTTCAAAATAAGATGTACAAGGAGTTGATATCAGATTTCCAATATATATATTGACAAGTAAACATGTTAGCTAGTGCTCTCTATAGTAGCAGAAATAGTTCGGAACAGGTGAACTTTGAGACATTTGCCCCTGCTCCAAAAATATGCCTGAGATGTCTAGATTACACGTTTACAGAACTGAGACTGGAGCACACAGGTGGATTCTTTACAAGTAAACTCAATAGTATTATTATATTATTATTATTATTACTAGTCCCTTGGGTTCCTAATGGAATATAGGGCTTCAGTAGCACGTCTCCAGTGAACTCTGTTCGTCGAAATCTTTTGAACCTGGCTCCACTACAGCCCACAAGCTCTCATTTCCTCCTCGCACGACCTCCTCCATATCACCCTTGGCACCGACGCCCAACTAGTCGCTTCCCATCGGGGTTCCACTCGAGTGACTGACCTGACGCGTGATGTCCCCTGTCGGCCTTCTCAGTGCATGCCCAATCCATCTCCACTCCCTTCCAGTGCATATTTGTTCAGCGGTAGGTTCTTGGTTGGTTCGTTCCCAGAGTTCCTTGCTGCTTATTCTTTCTGGCCATCTGATCTTCAGTAACGAGCCAGAGTAGGCAGTTGTTGTTGATGAATGTCTGTAGTTTGTTGGAAATGCCTTTCGTGACACGCCAAGTCTCTGAACCATACAGAAGCACTGACTTGACGTTGGTGTTGAAAATCCGTATCTTGTTCCGCATGCTGAGTGCAGAAGATCTCCACACTGGTTTCAGGCTGATGAACGCCTGTCTTACTTTTCCCATTCTGACTTTGACATCCTCGTCTGTCCAGCCTGTAATTGAAACAGTGCTGCCTAGATAGGTGAAGGTGGTTACTTCCCTTAAGTTTCTCCCGTTGATGGTGATTGGAGTTTGTTGTTGGTGTTGTTGGAGTTGTTGGTGCGGTATCTTCATCACCTCTGTCTTCTCTATATTCACCTGAAGTCCCATCTTCGTTGCTTCTTCTGTCAACTTGTTAGTTTTCGCCTGTAGGTCTTCAAGTTTGTGCGACATCAGACACAAGTCATCGGCGACATCCAAGTCTTCTAGGTTCTTTTCCCCGGTCCGGCCAGCGTATCCCCCTCTTCTCGCTCCTCACTGTTTGTTGCATGATCCAGTCGACCACAATCAGGAAGATCATCGGTGATAGTAGGCGGCAGCCTTGTTTTACTCCTGTCTTCACTTCAAAAGCATCACTGAGCTTCCCATTGTGAATCACTTGACATGTGGCATCTTCATATAGTTGTTGAATGAGGTTGATAAAGGTTTGCGGTATTCCGTAGTGTTGAAGCAGTTTCCAAATTACTTGTCGGTCGACGCTGTCGAAGGCCTTCTCAAAGTCGATGAAGTTGAGGTAGAGAGTCGACTGCCATTCTATACTCTGTTCTATGATGATGCGTAGTGTAGCGTTGCAATTTGATCCGCACATGATTTGTACTTCCTGAATCCAGCCAGCCAGCCAGCCTGTTGCGGTCGTAGTTTTGAATCCAGTGCATCCTTTAGTCTCTCCAGGATGATGCGGCTTAATATTTTGCTTGCTGTGGGTGGACAGGAGCGTGATTCCGCGCCAGTTCTTGCAAAGACTTAGGTCTCCCTTCTTTGGGAG